GATAGGAATTCATTCGATCCATAATGGATATTGCCCATCTTTCCATTGTGTTCATCAACTACTGTCCCATGGCATCTACCAAGCTTCCCTAGGGATTCATTGGCTGAGTAGATGGAACAGTGGATGATCTAATTCCATGGCCTCGTCCAATATTTTGAACATGTAGTACATGTTTTGAATTGCTGGTCTGTTCGACCATAAGTTCTAACGATATAGGTACTTCTATAGGATGTGTTATCACATTTTCCTCTAAATCAGGTACTTCTACCTCTCCTTCCACACTTTCTTCCAAGCGTTCATTTTCTCCTTGTCTCCTACGTCTAGCCATTTCAATTAGTCCCACTGGGCGTGCCAAAAATATATGTTGGTTTTTTTTACTTTCGAAGGTTAATATTGTAATTTTAAGCGTGCCAGTGAGGATCAATCAATCCTTATAGAAGATTAATTACCAACCAATTATTAGATGATTGCGTTTTAGTTCTCTTAGCCTTAATGAAGAGGACTTTTACTGGTGGCTGGTTTAGGAGAATTTGGTAAATAACAACAAGTGAAGAATAATTTCAGAATTTTCATGAAGTAAAATGAAAAACTTACAATGATCTGACCCAGTCTCGTACAGGTTTACAACAACAAGTTATTTGAAACTACTCTTAGGAATGAAGTGCAGAAATGTAAAGAACTATAAAAACTGGAAGGGGAAACAAAGTAAATAAATTGGTTTTTTAATCTGAGTCTGGTTCCTTCATTCTAGGGCCTTTTTTGCTATTTATATTTTTCATTAATAATCGTCGAAGTGGGCTTTCAACCGTCAAAATGCTCTCCATGATTGCTGAACATGCTCTCTCTCAGTCAGTCCCATTATGCCACTTCTTGCAGTTAGGATTTTCTCCTGATTTTCGAATTTAAATATATGAGTAACCATATCATCTTGTATTTCTCCACTAATTCAATGTTACACAGATCCATGATTACCAATGCTAACTGCCACGTGTCTGATTTCGATTGAAGACTGGAATTAACTCTTTATATTGTCATCATCTTGTCACGTGTTAAGTTGTGATTGACTTATACAAAATATATAATCAATAGATATTTAGTCTAAGATTTAAAAAAAATATTTGGTCCTTATTGTATATGGAATAAAATAAAAGGGGAAATCAATTGACAAAACTTGATTTCATTATAAAAAATTTAATTTGACCAACTGAGCTTAATTCAATTGGTCACTATTATACATTATCAATTAAAATGTTTGGAGGTTCATTTTTGTTAAAGGTCATAATTAATTATTTTTGTCTTTTATTTAAGCTTTCCTGTCCCCTTTAAGAATTTATATGTACTCTAATTATTAATTTATTTACTCTTTGTAATTCTGAAATAAAATAGGTAATGGAGTTGATAAGACTTGGGGTTATAATCATTGGGTTTTAGGTTTAATTCTCGGCGAAGTCAAGATCAACTTTAAAGGGGTCCACGTGGGATTGTTTTGAATATGTGTTGGTTTTTAGGTTTGCCATTTTGATTATTTTAATTAGAAGTTAAAAAATTTTGTTTGGGATAAATTATTTGATTTTTTTAATTTTTATGAGAGAAAAAATAAAATGATTATGAATTGATGTGATATTTTGTCTTATTGAGTTAGAAAGTCTATTTTATTTTTTTGTGACTAAAATAACTAAAAAGTCAAGAAGTCTAATAAATCAAAAAGTCAAGAAGTCTGATATGCCAAACGAAGGCGGTGTCTTTCTTGTAAAATTGGTATGCCGTTAAACTCTTAGTGGGTGTTTGAAAAGTTACTATTTTAGTAGGTTATTTTAATTTTTGACTATTTTAGAAAATTAAAATTTTTGTGTTTGGAAAGATAGTTGGATTTTTTTGTTGATGAATATGATGTTTGTGAAAGAAAAAGTGAAATAATTATGAATTGATGTGACATTTTTCTTATAGGCTATTTTAGCTTATTTTGTCTTTTAATGCTATTTTAATCCCAAAAAAAGCCAAAAAAGCTACTTCCCAATCACCCCAGTCTTCATTTGGGATCTGGATTAATTTTTTAATTTTTTGACTATTTTAGTCTAAGGCTAAAACATCTCGTTTGGGATGAGTTTTTTTATTTTTTATTTTTTATTTTTACTTTTATAAGAAAAAAATGATTATGATTTGGATGTGACATTTTGACAAATGTTATTTTTTAATTTTTTGAGTTAAAATCTATAAAATAACAAAATAAGCTAAAATAACTAATAAGACAAAAGGTCATATCAAACTTATAATCATTTTATTTTTTTTCTTACAAACATCACATCCAACTATAAAAAAATCCAACTATCTTATCAAATACAAAAATTTTAGCCTACTATAATAGCTAAAAACTAAAATGACATACTAAAATAATTTCTCAAATACCTATTTTATCTTATCAATTTTTTAATCTATTTTATCTTTTTTGTACCTGAAATAGCCAAATTAACCCATCTCAAACATAGCCTTATGGTAGAGATTGTGAATTTGAACCCATGAGTAGTGGACAGTTTTCAAAAATAAACAAATTAGGTGATTTTGTTTATATACTCATTACATTAATGTGTATAAAACCTTCTTACAGGTAATGTATATCATTAGTGCAACGTGCAATTAAGGCATTGTTTGAGAAGTGGGTTTAGGTGGGTTTGAGATTAAAATAGTTTCCAAAAATAAAAATAAAAAAATTTAATTTTAATAAGATAAAATATCACATTCAATTCATAATTATTATATTTTTTTTCTCACAAAAAAGTCAAAAAACCTAAAATTCCTTTCCAAATCAGACTTTTTAGTACCATACTAAAATACTCAAAAAAAAAAATAAAAAAACTAGAAAGCCAACCCTAGTATTTGGTAATGTTTATAATTTATTTATAAAAAAATTAAATATATTTATATTTATTTTTTATAAAAATAAAAATATCACATGTGTTTTAAAGCTTAATTTTAAAAACAATTGTGATAAAACCCCCCATACATGAGTGGATCACACACAGACGCATCAAGGACTAAGATCAAATTAGGAGTCATGAAACCTCTAAAAAAAGAAGTCTCAAACATTTTTCTTTTAAAGCTTCCGTTTGGGAAGTTGGTTTGAAGGCTATTTTGGCTAAAACAGTTATAAAAAACAAAATAAGTTTGTTAGTCCAATGAGATAAAATATCACATCAAACTCATAATTATTACATTCTTTTTCTTACAAAAAATTTTAAAAAGGTTAAAAAAAAAAAAAGCAATTTTTTTTGTTAAATGAGGGAGTGTCACCTCACTGGGGGTCGACCCCCAGTGGGTGTATGAGGCATTTCTGTATAAAAAACAAAATAAGTTTGTTAGTCCAATGAGATAAAATATCACATCCAACTCATAATTATTACATTCTTTTTCTTACAAAAAATTTAAAAAAATTAAAAATCTTTTTCAAATCAAATTTTTTAACTTCAAATTAGAATAGTTAAAAAAGTTAAAAAATCAAAAAAAAGTAAAATCACTCTCCAAACGGAGAAAAAAAATAATAATAAATGAGAAAAGTGGCCAAAGTGATTGCCAACTGCCAAGACTAATTGGTCATAAGTGATTTTTCAATAAAAGGCCATTACTAGCGGATGGTGACGGCAAAAATGGTTGTCAATAGTTAAAAATAATAGTCAAAAATAAATATTGGCCAAAGATGAAGGTCGGAAGAGAATAATATTATTGATGATAATTGGAGGTGAATTGTGGTTGCATAAAATTAATGGTTATAGACATAGTGATGATTAATGTGTAATGACAGAAAACGGAATAAATTTTAATTATTTTATAAGCAAATGAATCAAATCTTTTTCAGTTACTAGGAATTTTATAAATTATTACTCCCTCCGTCCCAAAATATTAGTTCCTTATTCCATTTTTCATTGTTCCAAAAAATTAGTCCCTCTTCAAAAATCAAGTACAAAAATAATATAAATTTCCTATTTTACCCTTCTTTTAAATTAATAAACAACATAAAAAGTACAATTATGCATTGATATTCTCAAAAAATGTACTATCAAAAGGATAATTTTGGAAAATCAACTTTTTTCAAATGCAATAATTGTACTACCAAAAAAAGTTAAATTCCCCAAAAGGAACCATTATTTTGGGACGGAGGGAGTAACAATTTTTTAAAAATTAAAATAAACACCAAATTAGTTTTTGTTCACATTTTATTTTTTATTTTTTAAACCAAAAAAAAAAAAATGATAAGGCTAGCATGTGTCCGAACGAGATTGGATTAGTATACAAACGTGAAAGAGTCCACATCAAATCTGATGATCTCACAAATAAGATCACTTCAAATCAACGGTGAATCTCAGTCGATTGTAACAAATACAAGCTTTATGACAATCACTAGGTAACTTCTCGACCAAATAGTTGCCAGCAAAGTCAAACAGTAACGCTCGCGAGTACGAGAGTGGCCCCACCCACACAGAACCTTCTCTCCTTACTCTCTCTCTAGACTTTCTCTCTCCTCTTTCGATACACATACATGTACACACTTGTCTCTCTATATTTTCTCTGCGAAGATAGAGAGAGAGAGTGGAAGCCATTGAAGGGGGTGGTGAGTGGGTGATTCTCAAGGAGAAAAGACTCCGTTTTTAGGGCTTCGTTTTCTTCAAAGAATCGAGACTTTGAATAGGGTATTTTTTTTTAAAAATCAAAACCCCCCATTGACTATCGTGCTCGCCATTGGAGTCACTGTAAGTCAGCTCTAATACTGCAAAAGCTCCAATTTTTATATCCTAAAACCTATACATATTTATTCGTGTAACTCTCTCTCTCTCTCCCGATCCCAAAAACACCAGAGAGAGAGAGAGAGTGTGTGGGGATAGATAGATAAAACATGTCGACTATTTGTATCTATCTCCTTTTCACTCACTGTTCAAATTTAAAAAGGTTAACTTTTATCCGTACTGGGTTTGGTTGTATTATATATGTATATATCTATAACATATAGATTTGAGAGAGAGAGAGAGAGATGGTCAACTGGGTCTTTTTCTCTAATTTGGTAGTTATGTATTTTGTAAGGTATTGAAAAGTCCACAATGGGTCTGTTCATATGTCATGTATATCTGTGATATACAGTGGTTTGGATTTCACTTTCTCTTTTATGGGTTTCTTTTTCATTATCCCCTTTTCTCTGCCATGATTCGATCTAAAGAGTCAAAGGGTATCCCTGATTTTAAAATTACTTCTTTTTCTTATGTTTTAAGAGAGGAACTAGAGAGAGAGAGAGAGAGAGAGAGATAAGGCTTTGGTTGTGTTGTACCAACCCTGTTTGGTTCTTCTTAAATTTTGTGGGTTTTGGTTGGTGAGTTGAGAGGTCATCATTTCTTACCTTTACCCAGTAGCGCATGGTTAAATGCTCAATCTGAAAAGTCCTGGTAATGTCAAAGAGGAGATTAGAAAGAAAATCTTGAGATATCAAAAATTTGAAAGTGATATAGTGATCAACCTAGGGAAAGGAAGAAAGGTTTAGAGAGAGAAAGAGAAAGAAAATAAAGAAAGAAGGAAAGAAAGGGTTTTCCCCTAGTTTGATGAGTTTTGGGGGTTTCATTGGCAACCGTGGTGGTGGCAGTGGTGGCGATAGTCCCTACAACACCATGTCCACCGCTACAATAGGGCAGCCACCACCGGTCAATCCACCCATTGCCCAGCCTTTTTTCAACTCTCCGGCTGCCTCCGTTGCCTGTGTATGCTTCATTGGATTGTACATTGATATTATCTCAACAGTTTATCATTTTTGTAAATGTTTTATTTATAGTTGATTTTTTATTGTAATTTTATTATAATTTATTTGTGTAGAAATCCAGGATGGAGGGTTTAGATGAGATGGCTTTGATGGGGGGAAATTTTGACCCTAGTCTAATGGGAAGGATCAAAGAAGATGGGAATGAAAGTAGGTCCGGGAGTGATAATTTCGAAGGCGGATCAGGCGACGATCAGGATGCCACAGGCGATAAACCGCAGAAGAAGAAGAAATACCATCGACACACTCCCCATCAAATTCAAGAGCTTGAAAAGTAAAATTTGCTACATTGGCACATATTGTTATTATATATTCCTTGTCTTGATCAATCACTAATATTGATTAGTGAGTTACTATTTGCTAACACAGTTGCTTTGTCTTTGTTTTGATAGTTACTTCAACAATGTCAGAAGACATCCTGATGATAAAGAAAGGTTGGAACTTGGTAAGAAGCTATCGTTGGATAGCAAACAAGTCAAGTTTTGGTTTCAAAATCGACGAACCCAATTGAAGGTAATTTCGGTACATTGTTTAGATCTTTCTATTCTTGATTTGCTTTTCTTTTCATGTGGAAAATTTTGTTCTTTTGAGTACTGGAAACTGAAATTAGTTAATCGAATCAGACCCAAGTTGAACGTTTTGAGAGCAGCATTCTCAAACGACAACATGAAGAACTCATGATGGAGAATATTAGCATGAAGGAGGGCATGAGGAACCCAATTTGTGGTAATTGTGGTGGCCCAGCAATTTTAGGTGACGTATCTATTGAGGAACATAATCTCAAGGTTGAGAATGCTCGATTAAAGGATGAACTAAATCGGATCTCCATCCTAGCAAACAAATTCTTGGGGAGGCCAATATCGTCATTGGCTGGTTCCATCCCTCCATTGTCAAGCTCTTGCTTGGAGCTTGCGGTGGGAAGAAATGGTTTTGGTGGTTCAGTAGACACAACATTTCCCATTGGACTTGATTCTAAAGACTGGGTTTTGAATGCTTTGACCATGGCCCCAACACTGACAACAATTGGCATGTCGGGCATTGATATACCTTATGAGAAAGCTATCTTTCTAGAGCTTGCATTGCGTGCAATGGATGAGTTGGTTAAGTTGGCTCAGATTGATAATCCTCTTTGGGTCCGAAGTTTAGATGGAGGAAGGGAAGTATTAAACCACGAGGAGTACATGAGGATTTGCCCACCATGTATTGGAGTGAAACCTAGTGGTTTTGTAACTGAGGCTACAAGGGCAACTGGCATGACGATCATCAATAGCTTGGCTCTTGTGGAGACATTGATGGATGCTGTAAGCTATTCAATCCTTTTATGATTGTTGACTTTTTTGTTTGTAATTTGTTAGAGCATCCGTATTAGACTATCTAAATTTTACCGTAAAATATTGTTAAAAAATTCATTCTCTATTTTAGAAATTACTTTTTCATCTATTTTCCCGACAAATTCCTTATTCTTTCTCTATTCTATTAAAATAATATTTTTAATTATTTTTATAATTAAATATTTTTTTAATAATAAAATTATAAAAACAAAGGAGCACAACAGCATAGCAGGAAGTAGCAGCAGAGGAAAGCAAAGGGGCGGTCGTCCGGCCGGACGATTGGGCAGTCATCCGGTCGACCAGTCAAGTTAATTTTGGACATTTTCCTTCTTTAGCTCCAGGACTCTCACGGGGATGTCCGGGGGACATCCTTTGCACCTATAAAATAAGAATTTATTAGATATGAGGGAGCGGGAGCTACAGTGACTCCCTCTCTATTTGTAGGAAGTCACTGTAGCAATACTTATATTTTGGGGTTGGATAGGGGAACTGTTGAGGATGTGTTTTGACAAAAAAAATTCCTTATTTTGAGTAAGGAGGTACTATAAGGGAAGAGATGGGGATGTTCTTACCCTTAGAGCATCCCCACCAGTTTACCTAAATTTTACCCTAAAATATTATTAAAAAATTCATTCCCTATTTTAGGAATCACTTTTTCATTTACTTCCCCCAACAGACTCCCTATTCTTTCTCTATTCTGTTAGCAAACTCTCTATTTTTTCTTTATTTTATTAAAATATAATTTTCAATTATAAATTTTAAAAAAAATAAAAATCATAAATGTATACTGCAGTCCCTAAATAAAGCAAAGCAGAAAAAAAAAAGAAAAAAAATATAAGGGAGCTACAGTGACTCCCTAAAAATAGGGAGTCACTGTAGCAAAAACTAATTTAAGGGATCATTTAGGGGATCTGATGCAGGTGGATAGGGAGCCATTTATCCCTTAAAATAGGTAAGGAGGGGGTTTAGGGGCTTTGGTGGGGATGCACTTAGTTAATTGTTGTCGTAGTGTACCTCCATGATGTGGAAAAAGTTGGTTTTTAAAAAATATAATACTGTTTTCGACTAGATTGTTTTTGTCACCTTAGCGCAGAATCTGCTATTTTTGGCCACAGATGTTTTCTCTTATTGTCCGGTCTTTTTTTTTTTTTTGGTATTTACCTTTGAATTATGAATTGGTATACTGTTTGATATATGTAATGTCTGATAATCACTTAATATGCATTCCTTTATGTAGAATCGATGGACAGAAATGTTCCCTAGCATGATTGGTAGAACATCTATCATTGATGTGATTTTCAATGGCATGGCTGGTTCCCGAAATTGTGCTCTACAACTGGTATTGTTCTTTTTTCAAGTTTTTATATTTTATATTTATAATCTTTTTCTTCGTGGCTTGAACTTGATAGATTATACATTGTAGATGCATGTTGAGTTCCAAGCTCTTTCGCCATTGGTCCCTGTTCGACCTATGAATTTTCTCCGGTTCTGCAAGCAACATGCTGAGGGTGTGTGGGCTGTGGTTGATGTGTCTGTTGACAGTATCCGAGAATTTTCAGATGCGCAAACATTTGTGAATTGCAGGAGGCTTCCTTCTGGTTTCTTTGTGCAAGATATGCCAAACGGCTATTCCAAGGTAATCATTAATTCATTATCGTAACTTATTATGAAACTTTTAGAGTTCTCTTAATATGTTGGTGTTGCTTGTCTGGATATTTTCCATTTTAGGTTTAAAATTAAGTGGTCATTGCAACTAGCAATTCAAATTTGATGTTATTTGGACTCTAAGCACTGCTTTGACTTGTGCTTGCTAAAATTTGTTTTGTTTCTATTATTTAGTGACCATATCCCAATTTCTTTGCGGGGCTTGCTCTTAATCACATGTAGTGGGATTGTTTCTAAAAATCCAAACCTTCTAAGATTATTTTCTTGACACGGATGCTTATACAGATTAAATTATTGTGGAGACTATAAATTTCAAGGCTAGGGTTGTTTAGTTTGTATGTATTTATTTCACTGCTATTTCAGAGATGTGCTAACCAAGAGTGTTCACATTTTAATATTGTTGAACTCTTTAGTTATAATATTTCTTCATTTGAAATTTCTGACTCGGGTTTTTCTTCTATTGTTGTATAGATTGTTCTACTCTCTCTTTCTCTCTCTCTCTCTCTCAGATTGTTTATTGTCCACAAAGCTGTATTACCTGGATAGAGTTTTGGTTGTACTCTTTTTTACTTTAAATAATTGCCTCTATCTTGTTTTTTACAAGAAAAAAGTAGCTGTTTTATAATTGAATTCAAAATGTTTTGGTCATATCTTGTCCTAGGTAACATCACCCATTAATGGTTGACTTTCACAATTTGTCTTTCCTAGATCCTGTATTGTGCAATCTTGATGTACATTAACCTCGATATTGTAAAAAAAAAAGGAAGGAAAAAATTCTTTGTTTTCCCTTGTGTGGTTTTGTTAGAGATCTCTATCTCACACGCACTCGCGTATGCGCCGCACCGCACTGCACTGCACATGCACACGTGGTAGTAACCGATTAATTGTTGCTTCTCAACAAAATACGAGGTTGTGTTTTCCTCAAACAGAAATGATGCTAAGGGCTGTTTGGCATATCTCAGAAGTGAGTCCTGCTTGGCTTGTATATTAGAATAGACAACATTCAACAAATTACGGAAGGCCTTGTAGCTACCTTTGTGAAATGGACTTTAATGGATTTATTCTTGGGAAAATATCAAATGTCGATCTTTCCCTTGAAATTGCCATGTAGAGAGAGGTGATTCATGTGTTAACAGGACTCAATAGAAATTTCATAGGAAAATTAGGACTTGCTAGGAATTTTCCTTTTCTTTTGCTAGGTGCCCAAGTGATATTTCAGCATCCCAAACATGTTCTCTCTCTCTCTCTCTCTCTCTCTCTCTCTCTCTCTCTCTCTCTCTCTCTCTGTGTGTTGTTTTTTGTTTTCTTTTAAACAACTAACAATGGATGCGCATGCTTAATAGCATGTTGAAGATTATAATTACAAAGACTATGCAGAACATGTAGTAATTATAAAAAGTAAATCGCAGATTATGTGGGTTGAACATTCAGAATACGACGAGAGTGCCGCCCATCATCTCTACCGGCCATTATTGAGATCCGGCATGGGCTTTGGTGCACAAAGGTGGCTCGCCACCCTACAAAGGCAATGCGAGTGCTTGGCGGTCCTCATGTCCTCTTCCATCTCTTCCGAAGATAACCCAGGTCCAGCTTCAGTTGAATCAATTTTTTTTACTTCTCCGATGAAAAATGTAATCGGTTGGTTTCTAATACAGTTCCATGTTCAACAGGAGTTACTCCGACCGGTAGGCGAAACATGGTTAAGTTGGCGCAGCGCATGACTCGCAACTTCTGTGCCGGGGTTTGTGCAACCATGCACATGTGGCAGCTGGTTCAAGTCGGAAATGTGGGTGAAGATGCAAGGTTGATGATTAGGAATAGCATGGATAATCCTGGTGAACCACCCGGGCTTGTTTTGAGTGCCACGACATCTGTTTGGATGCCTGTATCACATCAACGGCTGTTTGATTTCTTGAGAAACGAGCAGACGAGGAGCCAGTGGGACGAATTGTCTCACGGAGGGCCAATGCAAGAGATGGTTCGTATTACCACAGGCCAGGACTGTGGTAACTGTGTTTCTCTTCTTCGTGCTACTGTGAGTATTTGTCTACTTATCATCTGATTAATATGGCCTGTGCTGTCTGTTATGGATTGATGCGTTTATTTGGGCAGAAAATATTTTTCACTTTTGACCGTGGTAAATGTGTTTCTCTTCTTCGTGCTATTGTGAGTATTTGTCTACTTATCATCTGATTAATATGGCCTGTGCTGTCTGTTATGGATTGATGCGCTTATTTGGGCAGAAAATATTTTTCACTTTTGAAAAAGGTGGAAACTGTTTTCTAAAGTCTTAGCACTTTCACCACACCACCACCTCCATGACCACCACCACCAGGTTCACCCCCTCCTCATCTCCACCACCACTATCACCTGCCACCACCTTCACTACTAATACAACATATGTATATTAGTTTAAAGTTCGCGACTGAATATAGTAATACGTATTTTTACAGAGCGTCAAATTACTTTTCCTTTCCCTTCTTCTGCTCTACTAAGCTTTCATGCATGTAAATTGCAGGCTGCTAATACAAATCAGAACGCAATGCTGATATTGCAAGAGACACAGACAGACGCATCGAGCTCGCTCATAGTGTACACAGCAGTCGACATACCTGCAATGCAAGCGGTAATGAGTGGTGGAGATTCAACCTCCGTGGCTCTCCTTCCATCAGGATTTGCGGTAGTTCCAGACGGTTTTCCTGACTCTGTGGGGCCTAGCAACTGCGACGGCGCTTCGGTCAGAGAACGTGGCGGCAGCGGCAGTGGGTCTCTCCTGACTGTCGGGTTCCAGATATTGGTCAATAACCCGCCTTCAGCCAAGCTCACAATGGAGTCTGTTGACACCGTAAACAATCTCATCTCTCGCACAATTCAGAGGATCAAAGCTGCACTTAATTGCGCAGCATAGCATTAATTAACCATGTGTGTTTTGTTTTGTTTGTTTTTTTTTTTTTCGAGGGGGGAAAGAAAAACTATATATAAGATGATATATGTAGGAGAAGAGAGGAGAAGGGAGGGAGCTTGAGATGAAAATTCTCACAAAAATGGTGAATGCTTGCTGGGTTTTTGAGTCAAGAACGAACCCTGGTGAACCTTTGCCGAGTGTTGAAAGTAAAATTCACAGTTGCTAAAACCGGGTAGAGGGGTGGTGGTTCGGGTATTGACTCGGTAGACCTGCGAGTTAAACTCAGCTCTCAATCGTCAATTGCCTTTGTTGAATAATCTCATCTTTATATAAGGAAAAACATATGATTGAACTGTTTTGTTTAATCCAGGTTCTAATATTTATGTTTTTTCAAGTAGTATATATGAATACAAAAACCAAAACTGGACACAAAAATGGACTCATTTGTAAAATTTTGTCCATTCAATTGTATTCTTTGTCTGGTTTTTTGTTTTTGTAGTAGAATTGAATTTTGTTTTTGTTGGTCTTGAATGGTATCTCTATCTTTTGTCGCAGCTAGTCTTAGAGTTATGTTCTGAATTTGAATGAATGCTTACATGGTTTGCTTGTTCTGCAATCCAAATTTATGCTTTTGTTGCCATTTGAGTTCTCTGAGGCTTTTTGCTGGGAGCTTTTATTTACCCAGTAAATTGGTCTCATTAAATCCACTCCTTGTTAACTCCCGAGTTAGTTACTGTGCGGTTCATGAAAATTATTTTGAAATTTATTTATTTACACCAATTTTTAAAGGACATTTAGTTACACCAATTTTAAAACTTTAAAATTTTATTCTAACTTTTGGGGATAAATTTAGTGTGAATTATACTAATAGTCGTTATAGTTTGGGACTTGTGTCATTTTGGTTCTTAACTTTTTAATTGTGACACATTTAATCTTGAATTTTGAATCTTGTTTCAAATAAGGACAATTGAAGATATCATTAATTTTTTCAAGGGTAAAATCGTTAATTTGATAAAATATAAACTAATTAGACAAAAATAAATGTCAAATAAATATTTTTGAATTTTTAAAAATTATTTCTACTCATTAAAAATAAAATTATGTAAAATTGATAAATCTTTTAGACATTTATTTATTTTTTTTACTAAATTAATTTTTATTATGTGTTTGAATGATGATCATGTAAAATTAATTTTAAAAAATTAATCATGTAATTTTTATCAATTTTACATAATCTTATCATTGGTGGATAAAAATAATTTTTAAAAAATTAAAAATATTTTTTTGACATTTATTTTTGTCAAATTAGTTTATATTTTATTAAAGTGACAATTTTGCCCTTAAAATTAAACAATAGTATCTTCAATTATCCTTATTTTGAACATGATTCAAAATTTAGGATCAAATGTATCACAATTGAAAAGTCAAGAACCAAAGTGGCACAAGTCCCAAACTATAGAGACTATTTGTGTAGTTTGCCCATAAATTTATCATTCTAATAATATTTTTTTTAAAAAAATAAAAATTTAACTGCTTACACTTTCTTACATCATATTTAGATACAAATTAAGACAAATAAATTAAGAGTAAATCAAAATTCATAAATAAATGGGTGGTGGCATTGGGTGACAGTGGTAGTGGATGGTGGGAAAGGTGGGTTGAGTTTGAATCATCATTTGAATTTTAAAAAAAAAAACTAGTTTGGTTTTAAAAAAAAAAGAAAAAACTTAATATACAATTTTCTCTTTTTTGAGTTAGAAATAATTTTTAAAAATTTAAAAATATATTTTTTGGTATTTATTTTTGTTAAATTAATTTTTAATTAAAAAAATTCAAAAAATCTGAAAACTTTGAGGAAACAAAACTGTGAAATTACAAAAAAAAATAATCTATCAAATTTTCTATTAAACTTTTTATATTTGTGTGGAATTCACACACATGTGGATTTGTATAGGTTTCACACCTATGTGAGAGGTTTGATAGACAATTTAATAAATTATTTGGAGTCCATAACATTTTTTGATTAGAAAAGTACTTGTACAACAGAAAAATGTAAAGAAAATAATTTCTATGTATGTTACTAATTGTTTTTTTTGGAAATAATTTCTTGTGGATCCTATGCATTGGACTTATTTGTTAGTGATTTTTTTTATAAACTTTTTTACCATCGTTTTGATAATTAAAGTGAAAATTTTGAGACTTGTTAAATTTATGTTTAATTTTTGTGGAATGGACATTTAGGCCTCGTTTGGGAACAGGCTAATTTAGTAACTTTTTGGCTGTTTGGCTAAAATATGAGCTAAAAAAAACTAGTATGTTTGGGAGGACTTTTTGACTTTTTACGAAAAGATGTGCAAAAATTAGAGAGAAAATAGAATCTTTGACTTTTTTGTATGAGTTGTTGACTTTTTGGCTAATTTAATAACTTTTTGACTTTTTGACTAAAATGAAAGGTTCCCAAACGAGGCCTTAATACTTGTAATGATATTGAGAATTTATGAAAGTGATAAATAATTGGGATATTTTGACTTTTATTTGTAAGTTTTAATTTATTGTTAGTTTACTTATGTTAGTTTGTATTAAAATATGATGTAAAATGTGTAATAAGTTAAATTGTATTTTTTAAATATATTTTTATAGCAATAATACAATAAATTTAGACTTAACTACCTAGAAATTGCCCAAAATTATTGTCGTTCAAATTTATTCTACACATGAATCTCACACTACACAAATTTAATCTCAGCCACACATTCCCATTAAATTTAGGACAGTTAAAGTGGTGTTCATATACTTATTCTTTTTATAGTAATAAATTTATTATTGAAAGTTATATCATGAATTAGAAAGAAATATGGGTGAAACACCAATAAATCACAAATAATAATCTTGTGAATTGTTTGATTCTTTCTTTTTTCTTATGGATCCAAAGGTTTCATTCTAGTGTGAATTACATAAAGGACCAAGTAAAAAGGCACGTGTGTTATATGTTGGAGGACAAATGTAAATTTTTTCATAATGTTAAAATTACCAAACGTAACATTTAAAATAAAAAAAAAATCTTTAGTATACTTTTTTCAAACGTAATACTCCAAATATGACACTTCAATATAACACACTAAAAAACTTCTTAGTGTACTTTTCTCAAACGTAATATTCCAAAAAAATCTCTTAGTGTACTTTTCTCAAACGTAACATTTCAAAAAAACTTCTTAGTATACTTTTCTCAAATCGTAACACTTCAATCAATGTAACACACACAAATTTCTTAGTATATTTTTTTTCAAACATAATACTCCAATGTAACACACTAAAAAACTCCTTAGTGTAATTTTTTTAAGGGCAAATTATACTAATGATCCCTATAGTTTGGACTTTTTGTCACTTTGTATCACGACCCAACCCTAGGGGTTTAGGGCTGGAATCACAACTTATTAAATAATTCTAATCTTAACAAGTTAAATAGCACAGGCGGAGGCAAAATGGAAGTAAGAGATAATTAAATAGAAAATTTATTATGCTGATAAAAGAAAGTACATCTATAGGCTTTTATCATTTTATTATTCAATAACTGGCCCTGAGTAAAAAAACAAAAAAAACAAAAGGAAGAAAATAAGAGGAAAAAAAAACGAAAAAACAGATCAGCATCAAATTCTTGTACGGGTTCTACTACACGAGGTTATGGGTCTTCCTTATATCTCATCACCTGAAAGGGTAACAGCTATAAGCACACAACAGAGTGAGAAATATTATGCCAAGAGTATAGGGAATACAAAATAACCATGGATAGTTAGTTAAGCTAAAATATTTACATAACTTAATTTGAATAAACAATTTATTCAAAGTGGCAAAAACTGAAATACAAAAATTATATAAATAAATAACCATAACTACGGTAAAGAACAGAACAGAACAGAGGTCACAAAAGTGGCAATCAGAACAGCAGTCAATAGATCCATGACAAACAGAGGACCATAAAGTGGCCAAACAGAGGCCAATGGTTATTTAAGTCCCCTAAGGCATGAGACTCTCGTGGTGGTACTTACAGAAAATAATTATTTATAAAACCATTGTCAAATAATTTTTAAAAGTTAAAAAAACTATCCATGGGTTTCAATTTAAGCAAATTGAGTTCAGAAAATAATTAATGTAATCAAAATATTAATATAATTTATAAAGCATAGATTGCGTAAAATAATTTATGGTAACTCAAAATATACGTAAAATGTATTATGGCGACTCAAGATATAATATAACTCACCTTAATATTGACCCTTAGTCTTTACTTTTCTATAACAGCCTCGTTGTTAGCCACAAATATATTCCTTTCTTATCGAAATCTTAGCGTTATCAACTACTAACGTTGGCTATTTATAGAAGAGAATGAGGCATGGTTTTTTTGAAGTTTTTTGTATTTTTTATTTGGCCACCTGTCCTCACAGGTGGCCTATTCTCATTGTCCCTACTTGGTGATTCACCTAGGCTACATGTGCATAGTCACCACCCTATATGCTAGGGTGGTGACGGGCCACTGTAATAAAAAAATATATATATTATTATTTAATATATATAATTCCTAATTAAATTTCATTTTATCATAACATTTAATACTTTATTTTGCTTTTACGGAATATGTAATTAAACATTTAGGGTGTCAAAATTCTTCTCTCCTAAATAGAAGTTTGTCCTCAAACTTCACGTATCTTGATTTTCGAAGAGGTGTGGGTATTTGGCTCACATTTGACTTTTAGTTTCTCACGTCGCTTCTTCGATTCGATGATTTCTCCATAAAACTTTCACAAGAGGTATAGTCTTGTTTCGGAGAACTTGATCATGACGATCGAGAATCTGCACTGGTCGCTCTTGAAATTATGGTGCATGGTATGATTGGTGTTTTGTTAATTACCTTATTGAGATTAGAATGTTTAGATTTTTGTTTCACCCCTAGGATTTGGATGATGGAATATTGATTGGGGTTTAGTCCTAATTTAATATTTAATTGTCCAAATTTTGGGGCGTGACATCTGCACTGGTCGCTCTTCATAAGAGAGATCCTCTTGAACTTCCAGGTTCTTATAATCAACAACATGCTCTGGAATTCGAAGATATCGTCGAAGCATCGAAACGTGGAACACATTGTGGACATTGGATAGTTCAGGTAGTAGTGCAAGGCGATATGCTATAGGACCAATCTTTTCTAGTATCTCAAATGGCCCGATGTATTGTGGACTTAACTTTCCTTGCTTTCCAAATCGGATAAATCCCCTTGTTGGTGAGATCTTGAGGAACACATGATCCCCTGCTTGAAATTTCAAGTCTCATCCCTGTGTATCTGCATAACTTTTCTAGCGGCTCTAGGCAGTGCGAATTCGCTGCTGGATAAGTTAGATTTTATCACTTTTGATTTGCACGATCTCAGGGCTTAACAATTTCTT